AACCCACCCTAAACCCTAAACCCACCGACCCTAAAACCACCGGACCCTTCAAAAACCGACTCGGAGGCTTGAGAAGGTGCGTCAGGAGCGCATGGCTTTGGAGCGCCGACTTCACGAAGGTACCGTGGTCTTTTTAGTGGTTTGGGGTTTAGGGTTTAGGGTTTAGGGCTTACGATTTAGGGGTTTAGGGTTCAGGGTTTGGGGTTTAGGGCTTAGGATTTAGGGGTTCAGGGTTATATAGGGGTTACAGGGTTTGATGCTGGGAATATCGAGTTTACGGTGTGGGCTTGATAGGGTTTGGGATTGGGGACATGGGGCTCAGGGTTGCTTAGGGGCTGAGTAGGCGCCCTTTAATCTTTCGGGGCTTACGCGGTGAGCCTGCTTTCCCTAAGCATCAAAACAGCTCAGAAGCCTTATATAATAGGGTCCTTGGGCCCACAAGCCTTAAAATATGAATCCTTTGAGTGTAAGGGTTTGGGCTAGGGTATTCGGCCCCGAAGCCTAACCCTAAACCCTAAACCCGAAGGTTAAAGGGAAACCCTAAGCCTCTTAAGTCCTCTAGGACACGACCTGTGATACCAAACCCAACAAAATATGACCCTTCAGTTATAGGCCCAACAAACTAAACGGGTACCTAGAGGCTCCATATATCTTAGCAATATAGAATCATAAATCCCAAAAGACCATGCTTATGATGGCTTTAGGGACTTAAATCCACAATGGTAATATGCATGGAGCCTCTGGGTTAGAGCCCTATAGAACAATCAGAGTCCCAAAACCCTAAGCCCTAAACCCTAAAAACTTAACCCCTAAACCTTAAGCCCTAAACGTACATATGGAGCCTCTAGGGTAGGTGTTGACATCCCCAGGTAAACCAAAAGCGCAAAGCCCGTGACAGTTTACCCGAAGAGCCCCGGGACCTCCTTGGGAGGATCCGTGTCATTCCTATTTCAGAAACACTACAGGGGCTTGGGTTTAGGGTTTAGGGTTCTAGAAACCCTACAGGGGGTTAGGATTTTACAAACCCTACAGGGCTTAGGGTTTAGGGCTTTAGAAACCCTATTGGGTTTAGGGTTTAGGGTTCTTGAATCCCTACTTTCTACTTTATGGGTACTTCGTACCCTTTGGGTAAGGCTCCTGGACCCTCGTACTGGGATCCCAAATCCAAAAACCTAATTCTGTGAGATGTTTCAAGGGCTCTACCTTATCCTAAAGGGGGCACAACCCCAAACCCAACAAAATAGTAGGCTATGGCATGACCCCTAAACCCTAAACCCCTAAACCCTAAACCCTTCAACCCTAAACCCTAAACCCTTCTATTTCGTAGGGTTTGGGGGTACAGGTAGATCCTCTATAATCCCCGGTTATAAAATCTCGACGTCCGTAACGGTTCAGGGTGTAGCGTTGAGGAGCCCTCGACCTCCAAAATCCCTAAGGTGTAGGGTCCAAAGGACACATTACTTAGGTACCTAGGTTTCGGTCAGTATGTAGTCATTTAGGTTACTACTGGGAAGAGGAGAGTGGGCAGTTCTCTAAATTAGGGCCCCTTTCTAGATCCCCAATATAGTACGGCACCCTTATAAAAAGGAACCCCAAATTGGACCCTAGTTTCGAAAACTAGCGTAAGGCTCCCGGACCCTCGTGCCGGGATCCTAAGTCCAAAAACCTAATGCTGTAAGATGTTTTCAGGACTCTACCTTATCCTAAAGGGGGCATAACCCCAAACCCTGCCAGGTGGTAGGCTATGGCATGACCCCTAAACCCTAAACCCCTAAACCCTAAACCCTTCAACCCTAAACCCTAAACCCTTCTATTTCGTAGGGTTTGGGGGTACAGGTAGATCCTCTATAATCCCCGGTTATAAAATCTCGACGTCC